TTTGGAGATTTAATCCCGCTTTGGGGCTCTTGTAGAAAAACATTAAAGTGCCTCCTGAACAACTCTTCATTGTCTCAGCAGCTATTAGCCAACTCCCCCCAACCCACCTAACCCCTCATCTCTCTCTCCCTCTATGACTCTAACAAGGAACAGGGTTTCTGGGTCTTCCTACCATTTGCAGATTACTTGGGTAGTAAAATTTTCTCCATCTTGTCCCATTTACTGAAAGACAAACAGTATGGGAAGTGACATTACCTTTCAACTCAGATATCATGTTTTTCTGAAAATCACTGACTTGTACCAAACCACAGAGTTCATCAGCTCAAAAGCATACAGTTACCTCCTGCCATATTTTAACACCTGTGAAACTGAGATGTGTGTTATGCCTGATAGTGGGTCATGATTTAATTGTCAACATGTTTTTTTCCTTCTTAGTGATATATAAAATAATTATGTGTTAGAGCTAATGACATCTTAGATTTGCTGAAGTATAGAAATTTTCTTTTAGAAAATGTTTTCTTCAGACAGAAACAAGAGTTGGTGCCTAAGGTTATGTAGGTATGAATTATGGGAAGGGGCTGGGGGTCTAGAGAGAGGAAATAATATTTGCAAGGTCCCTGGGCTGAGAAGAAAATGACCTATCCAAGAAACCAAAAGTAGTTTAAGGAGGCAGGAGTATAGAGAGCAAAGAGGATAATGAGCCACTTTAAATGGATGTGAGAGTTGCACAGAAATATTTATAGAAAATACTTGGGACTTGCAGGCACTCTATAAATGGTACTTCGCTTTGGATTGTTTTCTGGACAAATGAATGAGAAAATTTGTGGTATATCATCAGTTTTCTCCTTTTTTTTTTTTTTTTTTAACATTTTAACACCTCTGAACTTGGGATGCATCTTATAGGCTAGAGTGTTTTATTATTTATTTGACAGCACGCCCCCCCCCCATAAATGGTATCTTAGAGTTGATGAAACATGGTATATAAAATCAGTTGCTAAAATTGACACACTATTCCTTTGTACCTGCATCCTTAACCTGAATTCCTGATTTCCTACAAATTCTGATCTGTCCACTTGAAACATTTTTACTGCTTTTCCTAGGCTTAGATTGTGGGTCACATGGCCTGCTCCATTTGTGCCTAGACCCTTGATGTCGACAGGGTCTTGTGGGGCTGACCTGAATGTCACTTTGAGCTTCTCCAAACCTCTGTAAAAAGGAACAGATGGGTATTTGAGGATATTTGTGTATGTCACTTTCCTTTATAAAAAAATATTTGATGGAGTTCATATTAATATTGTCTTTATATTTTTATTTATTTTTTTCATATTGTCTTTAGAATCAAGTATCAAGTCCAAACTTTTCAGCCTGCCAGTAAAGGCCTGTTGAAATCTGGATTTAATTTACTGATTCAGTTTTCCCTTTCAATGTCTCCTAAAGTCCTTTTTCGAAAGCCTTCACCTCAACCAAACTGGCCTTACCAGTTGTTCTTATTATATCTCATGTTTAGGATCAAAGAGCTTCTAAAAGCAATAGCTCTATAGATTGAGCTCTATGTTGAAATTGTACACACCCTCCACCTTTGCTTTTTTCATGGTAGTTTTAGGACAATCCTTCAAGAGAAGTATTATTACTCCTTCTTCACATGTAAGGAAACTGACACATCTAGAGCATTAAAGTAACTCACTCAATTCGCACATTTAGGCAATGTTTTCAAACCCAGATCTGTCTGATCTCAAAATCATGTTCTTTCTACCATACCTCACTGCTGGATCCTCATGTTCCCTTTCCCTGGATTCTGTCACTGAGAAGTTTCTCACTGTAGTCATGTTCCATTCTCCTACAGGGTCATGTCCTCTATGACACCCTCTCTGTCTTGCCCAGCACTTGAGGATGACTTCCTCCTCTATAGTCACTTTTTACGGATGCTTGGTGCCTCCTGTTAAACACTTGACTTATATGTGCCCCACCCCCAGCACAGTACCTTGTGTAGAGTACTCTCAAATGTCGTGGCTAGGGTTGGTTGAAAGGGAATCTTAGGAACTTTGGTTGCAATTGAAAAGATAACTTAGATCAAGAAGCAGGAATAGTGCGAGATGGCTCTACACTCTGTTTCTTATTCTCAAGCTTCTCTTGGGAAATGGCGAAGAATCAAAACTTGTCAGAAGGCTAAAATAGGTTCTGGAGAGGGTTTAAAACCAGAAATTCCTGATGCTAAGGTCTGCAAATGTTTGAAGGCATATAAGCAATCATGAAAGTCTATTCCATGGACCTATATGGTTTCTTAGCTCCTTGGGCTGGGCAGTAGTAAAAGGTCAAGGTCTTAGATGTTATTTCTTAGAGGATTAATGAACTTTGCTCTGGTCTCCAAATTCTGTATTTCCATGAATACTGGCCAGGCTTGGTCATTCAACTCAGGCTAAGCTACTTTGTCCCACACACTAAGGTCCTGGACACAGTGGGGAGTGGATGAGTGACGAGTGAATTAGACTGACCTGTCTTCCCTAGAAGGTAACGAAGCATGGCTTAAAATGGGGCCAAAGAATTACTTTGACCTGGGAGTGGAGCCAAAGCATACCAAATATTAGACCTGGAAAATAGCTGAATTGCTTTTCTCATAGAATGGCTCTTTTTTTTTTTTCCTCACCCGAGGATATTTTTCCTTTTTTTTTTTTTTTTGTACAGATAGAGTGGGAGGGAGAGAGAGGAAGGGAGAGAGAGAGAGAAACATCGACATGAAGGGACACATCGAGTGGCTGCCACCCACACGACCAACCAGGGCCGGGGACAAACTGCAACCGAAGTACGTGCCCTTAGCGGGAACCGAACCCGGGTCTCTCCGGACCGCAGGCCGACGCTCTAACCGCTGAGCCAAACTGGCCAGGGCTAGAATGGCTCTTTTTGATGGGCTTTGAAGAATGTCATTATGTGGGGGGTAGGGGCAGGCTGTGGATGTAGGGCAACATGTGCTCATGGTAGAAGCTTTTCTCTCTACCATAAGTTTAAAATTCTACTGTGTGTTATTCTAGCTGGCAACCAAATGCTTCTAAGTACTAGGCTTCTTAACATCTTCCAAAAATTTTTGAATTTTTAAATGGATCACCTGCTTTGATACTCTAGGTGGTAGGTAGGTATACAGGTAGGGAAGGGAAAAGGACAGTAAATTCCATTTTCTCCCCACAGAGTACGAACTCGAGGATCCTTCTCAGGGCCAGCTTGTCAGCAACCACTCTAAATTGACTGTGATTTTGTCCTTGCCTCTCTTTGTAAAGGTTTCTTTTTCAGAATTTTCAGCCAACAGCTTCCAAACTGTCATTTACAATTTACAGAAGGACAGAAAGTAGAATAGTTGTCAGCAAGCAGCATAATTATGTGCCAGGAAATGACATGGCAAATAGTCTAGCCTGGCAAGGGCTAGACAGCTCTTTCCCTATCTTCTAGCTTCAGGCAGGAGAAGAACTACAATATCTGCTGATCTTTTTGTGACTTATTTTGCACTTGAAGTGCAGATTACTAAGGAATATTTGCTCTGGAGATCAGAACTTGGGCAGAAATTTATTTTTTTAAAAGCAAAGCAATGATGAAATAGACCTTGGAAAGTAGGATTTTATATTACATTGAGTTATGTTACATTATATTGTGTTATGCTGTGCTGTGGTATGTTATGCTATGCTATACTATGTTATATGTTGTTATGTTATGTTCTTTTCTGTGTAATTGTGTAGCACAGTGATTCTTACAATGTGGCCCCTGGATGCAGCAGCAGCTGTATCACCTGGGCACTTGTTAGAAATGCAATTTCTTGTGAGCCATCCAAGATCTACTGAATCAGAAACTCTGGGGCTGGAGCTCAGCAACCTGAATTTTAATATCTTCCAGGTAATTCTGATCTATGCTCTGGTTTGAGAAACACTAGTATGTAATAGATGGCAAGTAAATTCTACCTTGTTTTACTTGTTTATTAGTTACAAATACAAAGAACCTAGAACCTAGAAAGCCTAGTAAATAGTGGGTATATAAGTAAGAAAGAATTTTCTCATTCTCACAAAACAAGAAATAACCAAGGAAGGACATGCAGGTTGTTATCCAGGGCTCAAGGATAATGTCTAGGGATTCACATGCTTCTTAGTTTCCTATTTTCCCACTCTTAGAAAGTGGCTTTTGTCACCAGATTTGCAAGATGGTTGTAGTGCCTCCAAACATTACTTCTATGTTCCAGGCAGGGAAAAGAGGGAAGGACAAAGGGCTTTTCTCATTTTTATTCAGGAAGAGTAACTCAGCTCAGAGATTTCTATCTGTATCTCATGGCCAGAACCATCATATGGCCAACTCCAACAACACTAGAAGTTAAATTAACTTTAGTTTTTTAGTCTTTATGATAGAGAAAGTCAAGGAAAATGGGATGGAGGTGAGAATGGTTTTGGGAAAGACCAGTCCAACTTGCAACTTGCAGCTATTTCTGTTGCTTTCTTTTATTTTGTTAGAAATTCTTGTGGTAGGTCATTATGGAAAAAGTCATCACCTTAATGTTTAATAAGAAAATAGAGTCAACAAAATGTTTTCCATTTACACTTTAATTTTGAAATCCAATCTGTTAACAAAAACTCAGGTTTTATTGTCCAAATAATTATTTTACACTAGGTTAAAAGTTTGTCTGACTTTGTCTTCTTGAGATTTAATGGAAGATTTATGAAATAATGTAAAATAAGGCAAAATAAATAATGTGAAATGCTGTGCAACTACACATATTTGGGCAATAGTGGAAAGCCTGAAAATTTGAATATTTCAAGATATACACCTATTATTTCTTTTTCTTTTTTTACATGGAAACTAGGGAGCTATATTGGTTACATATTGTGCTGCAGAGCCAACATTCAGCATTAGAGCCAGAGGATACATGCAGGCAGGCAGTTTCAAATATACGCATGCACCCAAGGAGTCCTGAGTCACTGCTAATGGCTTTTTCCTGGTTTCCAGTGACAGTATTCTGGCCTCCTTCGTCCCATGCATGGAGCAGGAATGTAGAAGCTGCTGTATCTAGACCCCAAGGGGCAGAGGTGAGACCCAAGCACTTGCCTAAGCAAGTAAGTGTGGACCATCTATTATTTCTTTAAAATATAAATAATAATTAGAATTAGGCTCCAAAACTGTCACATACAATTTCCTTTTATTGTAATGCATAGATAATTATGATGATTGACTTATTTATAATAAGAATTGTTTCCAAGCAGAGTTAAAGATATTTATAAGTCTGTACAAGTCTACTTGTTTCTTAACAAAGCCATTCCTCTTATATTTTAGATGGTAAATTTGCCCAGACTTTGTTCAAAATATTACCAATTTTGAGTTAATGCAGTGCAAGTATTGAACTACTGTTGGACTTATTGAGGTTGTCATGGTAATCATCTACCTGGCAGAAAGAAGCCAGGGACCAGGGAAGATCAGAAATTATCCTTCTCAGAACTAGAGTCAAAACAGAGATGGCTGGACACTAATCCTGTGCTTTTTCCACATTATCTTTTTCTAACACCTAAATTTCTAGTTTTTAATCTTCAGCAAATGTCTATAATTAAAACAGCTCCTAGCACTCCCTTTCTTAATCCCCATCCTCTAGGTCAGGGATTGGCAAACAAGCGCCAATGAGCCAAATCTGGACCATTGCCTGTTTTGTTAGAATTCATGAACTAAGAATGGTTTTTACATTTTTAAATGTTTGAAATAATTTTTCATGACATGAAAGTTATATGAAATTCAAATTTCAATGCCCATAAATAAAGTTTAATTGAATATAACCACACCCATTTTTAATGTGTTGTATGTGGTTGTTTTCATGCTGCAACAACAGAGTTAAGTAACTGCAATATGGCCTGTGGGGCCCACAAAGCCTAAAATATTTGCTATCTGACTTTTCACAGAACACGTTTGTTGACCCTGCTCCAGATCAATCCTGATCAAGGGGACTTTTAGACATTGAGAGAAAGGGAAGCCCTCTTGTCTAAAATGCTAAATTGGGCATCTCTGATCAGTCTTATGTGCTTTTCTGACATTTTTTATATTAAATTCTCTTTCTGAAATTTTGAGTCTTGCTTGGACATAAAGGGTAATAGTTTGTACACGTGCTATTTAATATAGTAAATGCTACAAACATGTGGCTGAGTACTTAAAATGTGGCTTGTGCAAATTGACATGTGCTATAAGTGTAAAATATACATCAGATTTTGAAGAATTAGTACAAAAAGGAATATAAAATTTCTCAATATTTTTCATGTTGAAATGATAAAAAAACAAATATATTATTAAAATAAATTTTACCAATATTTTGTTACTTTTCAATGTGGCTACTAGAAAAGTTAAAATTACATATATGGTTCAAGTTATGTTCCTTTTGGACAGTGGGGGTTTGAATCCTTTTACTTTTGTTTTTCAAGAATGGAATTTTCTTTCTCTTTGGGGGACATTAGATTTGTGCTTTATTTTTTCTTTCTCTCTCTCTCTCTTTCCCTTCCTCCTCCTCCTCCTCATCTTCCTTCTTCTTCTCTCTCTCTCTCTTTCTTTCTTTCTTTCTTTCTTTCTTTCTTTCTTTTTTAGTCAGTTGTTCCTGTATGTAATTTAAAGGGTCAAATACTATACTTCTCAAGACTTATTATGATTAAATATCAGTTCCCAGCTCTTCTCCCCAACCCTCACTTTACCCCTTTTCCTTATTTAGATGCAACATTTTCAACTTTTTAATTTGTAATTTTTTGGTGTCTATAGCTTTAACAACATGCTTATATTGCTACTTTAACTTTTTTTTTAATTTGTAAGAATTATCCAATTATTTCCCACTATCCTAGATCAAGATTTACTTCTTGTTGATCTCTTTACCCTCACCACACACATAAACATTTCCTATACACTCATTTTCTAGTATAGTTTTATTATAATTTTAATTAGCACAGTAATTTGACTATAAAAATGCTGTTAATAGCTGAGCCAAGTTGAGCCTCTGATAAGACATAACTAAAGAAATAATTAAGGGATTGGAATATAGATTTAAATATTTACTTAGAATTCAGGTCACATTGATAAAAATTCAGCTTACATAGAGAAATTGTGAAAAAGAAGTTAAAGGGACATGCAACAGAATGAAAATGCTCAATATATGCTAATGAGAGTTTTGGAAAGAGAAAATTAAGAGAATAAGGGAGAATTAAGTATCTGATAATGTAGACTAAGGAAGAACAATCAAATGACTAGCAGGAATATTTGTGAAAAATCACTACAACGTGATTTTCTACTTCTGTGAATAAATCCAAAGAAACCCAAAATATTAATTTGAAAGAATATATGCACCCCTATGTTCACTGCAGTTCTATTTATAATAGCCAAGATTTGGAAGCAGTCCAAGTGCCCATCAGTAGATGAGTGGATAAAAAAACTGTGATACATTTACACAATGGAATACTATTTAGCTATAAAAAGGAAGGAAATCTTATCTTTTGTGATTGCATGGATGAATCTGGAGAGTATTATGGTAAGTGAACTAAGCCAATTAAAGAAAGACAAATACTGTATGATTTCACTTATCTGTGGAATATAATGAACAAAACAAACAAACAAAATAGAAACAGACTCATAGATACAGAGAACAGACTGACAGCTGTTAGAGAGGAGGGGATTGGGGGGCTGAGTGAAAAAGGTTAAGGGATTAAATTAAAAAATAAAATAAAACCCTTGTAGACACATACAACATTATGGTGATTACCAGAGGGAAAGTGGGGTGACAGTAGGTAGAAGAGAGTAAAGAGGGAGTTAAATGGTAATGGAAGGAGACTTAATGTTCAGTGGTGAACACACAATATAATATACAAATGATGTATTATACAATTGTACACCTGAAACCTGTGTAATTTTATTAACCAATGTCACCCCCATAAATTCAATGAAAATAAATAAATAGCCAATAACTTTTTAAAAAACCCCACAATAATAAGAGTAATAATGACTCTTGGGGGGTAGGGTTCAAAATAAAGTGGAATTAAAATTTATATCACCTATCATGGAAGACTAAGGACATGTCTATATGGAGTTTAAGTACCTTGAACTGTCAAGAGGAGTCTAAATATGTGATTACACTCAAACATTAACGTCAAGTAGTTATATTAAATCTGTCTACTAAAATAACAGAGAGAAGATGTATATGTTCTAAGTAAATGGAAACCCCGAAAAGAAGGGAGAAAGAGGCAAAGAAAACTCTAGGTAGATATCACACTCAAAATAATGAAAAGAAATCCACATATATCTGTAGTAACAATAAATATAGATGGCTCAACATTCCTCCTTAAAGACAGATTTTCTTAGATTATATACAAAACAAAATCCAACTATGTGCTATTCATTAAGAGACATGTGTAAAGCATAAAGACACAGAAAGGTAAAATGTGAAAGGATAGAAAAATAAAAACCAAGTGACTATTTTTTGAACAAATAATTAAAGTTTTTGCATGGCAGAAACCTCTTATTTTTTCCTCTAATTAATAGACTTCATTTTTTAGAGCAGTTGTAGGTTCACAACAAAAATGAGAATAATGCCCGGCTGGTGTGGCTCAGTGGACTGAGTGTCGTCCCATGGACAGAGAGGTCCTGGTTCCATTCCTGGTCAGGGCACATGCCTGGATTGCAGGCTCGATCCCCAGTAGGGGGCGGGCAGGAGGCAGCTGATTGATGTTTTTTTCTCTCTCTCTCCTTTCCTCTCTCTCTGAAAAAGATCAATAAAAACATTTTTTTTTTTTAAAAAAAATGAGAATCAAGTACACATCTGCCCCCTTTCTCCCTTCCCACAGCCTTCCCCACCATCAACATCCCCCACCAGAGTGGTACATTTGTTGCAATAGTGGATGTGCATTAACACATTATTATCCCCAAAGTCTATAGTTTACATTAGGGGTTACTCTTGGTTTTGTACATTCTATGGGTTTTAACAAATGTATAAGGACATATATCCACCATTATAGTATCGTACAGAATAGTTTCACTTCCCTAAAAGTCCTCTGTGCTCCCCTTATTTATTGAGACTGTGTTGTATATATATATTTGGCTACAGACCCATGCTTATATTAGGGTTTTGAAAGTCTATGCTTGGATTTACCTGTTTTAGTGGGTCTCCTCTGATTGAGTTCATGATAATCAAAGAAAATGAAACATTTTTGGCAGTTCCAAATAATAGGTCTTCAATGACAATGCTGCTTCTACCACCATTAACTACCCTAAGTCTTTTCCAGACAATTTTTAGAAAATGGTATTTCTTGCATAAACAGAAAATAAACCTTTTCAATTTTATCTCCTAGAACTGGGAGTGTTTAGCCAAATTGTATAGAAAACCTCCCACTAACATGTTATTTGTAGTGATAAAATTATTTGAATGTTCTGTGAAGGCTTATCAAATATCTTTTTTTTTTTTAGTTTGTGATTATTATTAAAAGGACTTCCACAAGCTGGAGCCTATATTACAACTATCAAATATCCTTGAACAGGTAGAACATCATTGATTTTAACAAAAGATTTCTATAACATTTATAGACTGAAACTATACTAAAATCCTCTGTATTAGTTTTATATTGTGCATAATAAATTACTCTAAAACTTAAGAGGCTTAAAACAACAAACATTTATTATCTCATAGTTACAATGACTTGAGAATGTAAAAATTTTAAATGTATTTTCCAGTTACAGTTTACATGTATTATATTAGTTTCAGGGGAACAACTAGTGATTGAACATTTATATACCTTGTGAAATGAACATCTTGATAAGTGTAGTATCCATCTGACACTATACACAGTTATTATAATATTATTGACTATAGTTCCTATGCCATGACTGTTTTCATAACTGGCAATTTGCTCTTCTTAATCTCTTCACTTTTTTCACCCAGTCCCCCAACCACCCTCCCATCTGGCAGCCATCAGTTTGTTCTCTGTATCTGTGAGTTTGCTTCTGTTTTGTTTGTTTGTTTATTTTGTTTGTTTAAATTCCACATACAAGTGAAGCATGGCATTTGTCTTTCTCTGACTTGTTTCATTTAACATAATACCTTCTAGGC